ACGGGATTAGAGGTGAGAGGGGGGAATCGAGGGCAGAAACAGCTCCGCCACCAACTCCTGAGGGGAGGGGGGGAACCAAAGGTGGGAAAAAATAAAAGCAGCAATTTAACTCCACAATTAATAATTAAAGGTTAACAATGGCATTAACAATGGCATTAACAAAGGCATTAACAAGGGCTTTAGAGGTGAGAGGGGGAATCGAGGGCAGAAACAGCTCCGCCACCAACTCCTGAGGGGGGGAAAAAAAGGCGGGGAAAAGAAACAGGCAATTTAACCCCAGCAACAATTAAATTATTAATCAATTAAATTATTAAGCAATTATTAAACAATTAAAACAATTAACAACGGCATTAACAACGGCTTTAGAGGTGAGAGGGGGGAATCGAGGGTAGAAACAGCTCCGCCACCAACTCCTGAGGGAGGGAAAAAAGGCGGGAAAAAAAGTGGCAATTTAACCCTGACAACAATTAAATTAGTAAACAAATTAGTAAACAATTAAATTATTAAACAATTATTAAACGATTAAAGCAATTAACAATGGGATTAGAGGTGAGGGGGGGAATCGAGGGCAGAAACAGCTCCACCACCAACTCCTGAGGGGGAGAACCAAAAGGCCCGAAAAAGGAGGGAAAAGCGGCAGTTTAACCCCGGGAACAATTAATTAACAATTAATTAACAATAAATTAACAATTAATTAACAATTAACAAGGGGATTTGGGGGGTTCTTACCTGAGTTCGGGCCGACAGGAGCTGCTGGAACCCCTCGACCTCTTTGCTCTCCTCGACCGCCCGTTCCTGAGGGGACCCGAAAATGGGGGGTCACAGAGGGGATTTGGGGTATTTTAGGGGGTTTTGGGGCAGGTTTTTTGTGATTTTAGGATATTTTGGGGTGATTTTGGGATATTTTGGGACATTTTGGGGTGTTTTCCCATGAGCACCCCCAGCCTCATGTCGTAGTTGTTGATGAGGAAGCTGAGCTGCTCCCAGAGAATTTGAGGCTCTTTTGGGATGTTTTGGTGCAGGTTTTTTTGGATTTTTGGATATTTTAGGATATTTTGGGGTAGTTTTCGGATATTTTGGGGGTATTTGGGGATAATTTGGGACATTTTAGGGTGTTTTCCCCTGAGGACCCCCAGCATCACGTCGTAGTTGTTGATGAGGAAGCCGAGCTGCTCCCAGAGGATTTGAGGCTCTTTTGGGATGTTTTGGTGCAGTTTTTTTGGGATTTTAGGCTATTTTAGGATATTTTGGGATATTTTGGGGTGGTTTTGGGTTGTTTTAGGGTGTTTTACCATGAGGACCCCCAGCATCATGTCGTAGTTGTTGATGAGGAAGACGAGCTGCTCCCTCCTGGAGGGGAACTCGGCGGCCACGCGCAGCACCAGGTTCTCCACTTCCAGCTGGGAAAAGGAGGAGAAAATGGGGGGAATTTGTGCTCCCAGTCCCTCCCAGTGGCTCCCAGTCCCTCCCAGTCCTTCTCAGTGCCTTCCCAGTGCTCCCAGTCCCCTCCCTGTCCCTCCCAGTGCCCCCACTTCCTCCCAGTGCTCCCAGTGCCCTCCCAGTGCCCTTCCACTCCTCCCAGTCCCTCCCAGTGCCTCCCACTCCCCTCCCAGTGCCTTCCCAGTGCCTCCCAGTCCCTTCCAGTGCCCCCTGGTCCCTCCCAGTGCTCCCAGTCCCCTCCCAGTGCCCCCCAGTCCTCCCCGCTCCCCTCCCAGTCCCCCACATTCTCCTCCCAGTCCCTCCCAGTGCCTTCCCACTCCCTTCCAGTCCCCCACAATCTCATCCCAGTGCTCCCAGTCCCCTACCAATCCCTCCCAGTTCCTTCCCAGTCCCCCCCAGTGCCCCCAGAGCCCTCCCAGTGCCTCCCAGTGCCCCCCAGTCCCTCCCAGTTCCCCTCTCAGTTCCTCCCACTCCTTCTCAGTCCTTCCTAGTCCTTCCCAGTGCCTTCCCAGTGCCCTCCCAGTCCCCCCCACTGTGCTCCCAGTCCCTCCCAGTCCCTCCCAGTCCCTCCCAGTCCCTCCCAGTGCCCCCCCACTCCCCTCCCAGTGGCTCCCAGTCCCTCCCAGTGCTCCCAGTGTCCCCAGTACCTGGAGCCTGCCGAGGAGGGCGTCGCTCCTGTCGCTGGGCAGGGTCTGGTTGATGCTGGCGATGGCCGACGAGAACTCGGCGTAACGGCGAGTGATCTGTGGGAATTCCCGGAATTCCCAGAATTCCAGAGCCATTCCCGGGCTCCCACCACCCTCATGCCATTCCCATCCCACCCTGGGTGATCAGTGGGAATTCTGGGCTGAATTCCCAGCATTCCCGGGCTCCCACTGCCTCCAAACTGGGGATGAATTCCCGGCATTCCTGAGCTCCCATTGCCCCAAAATCCAGGCTGAATTCCCGGCATTCCCGGGCTCCCACTGCCCCAAAATCCAGGCTGAATTCCCGGCATTCCCGGGCTCCCACTGCTCCCAAATTGGGGATGAATTCCCGGCATTCCCGAGCTCCCACTGATCCCAAATTGGGGATGAATTCCCGCCATTCCCAGCATTCCAGAGCTTCTACTGCCCCCAATCCCACCCCCATGATCTGCAGGAATTTCAGGGTGAATTCCTGGGAATTCTGCCCCCAAATCCAGGCTGAATTCCCAGCATTCCCAAGTTCCCACTGCCCCCAGTCCCATTCCCATGACCTGCAGGAATTCCAGGATAAATTTCCAGGAATTCTTCCCCTAAATTGAGGATGAATTCCCAGCATTCCCGGGCTCCCACTGCCCCCAAATTGGGAATGAATTCCCGGCATTCCAGGGCTCCCACTGCCCCCAATCCCACCCCCATGATCTGCAGGAATTTCAGGATGAATTCCTGGGAATTCTGCCC